CTCCCCTCCTCCTCCTCCTCCTCTCCTCCTCCCTCTCTCCTCGTTTTGCTCGTATATCGTATCCTCCTCTTCCTCCTCCTCCTCCTCCTCCTCCTCCTCCTCCTCCTCCTCCTGCTCCTCCTCCTCCTTCGCCTCCTCCTTCTTCGTCTCCATTCCTTTTCCTTGTGCATAACTCCTCCGTGTCGCACCCCTAGGCCTGTCGAAAGAGCGGACCGGGCGTTTCGCCAAAGAGTGCCTCACCTCTTAGTGGAAGCTGGCAATAATTTCACTGATGGAGAGCGGGCCGCGTCCAAAATGTGGTTCTCGCTTCAACGCCGCGCACATTCGTTGCACGAATTTGCAAAAAGCTTCACGGACTGAGGACGGGTGGTTTTCACAATGTGGTTGTCGCCTCAACGCCGCGCACATGTTTTAAGATGTGCTAAACCGAGTAGGGGATTGACAACATAATGATTCCTGCCGAATATACAATTATAGTGTCCCGTAATCCTACGAAAACTCGACGCGCTTCTTGCATATACGGCCAGGGAAACCAATTTTGGAGCAAATCAATGATGTTGTCCATCCTCTATTCGGCTAACGCTCCACGGGTTGAGGGCGGCTCGTTTTCAAAATGTGGCTCGCCTGAGCGCCGCGCACATTCGTTGCAAAACTCTGCAAGAGCTTCACGGATTGATGGGCGGGTGGTTTTCCAAGTGTGGTTGTCGCGTTAGCGCCGCGCACAATCGTACTAAACATTTGAAAGAACTTCACGGGTTGAGTGGCTCGTTTCAAAATATTGTTCTCGCCTTAGCGCCGCGCACATTCAGTTTATAGATTTGCACGAGTTGTTCGGATTCTCATAGTCAACGTGCCAGCTCTATCTTTAAAGGACTCAGGATTGTGAGGGCACAACAATTACGTTGACTCGTGGTGTGGAGTCCCAGGAATGGTGGTCTGGCAAGATTCTGAATCGTCAAGACGCAAACTGCTCTCCCAGCGAGGCAGTTCCTGAGTGGAAATGAACCCTTGTAGGGGTATCTGAAGAGGGAGCTTGTAGGGAGGGTTGATTCCAACATCGTTGATGAGTCTTGGGTTTCCACTGGTCCTCCTCCTCCTCCTCCTTCTCCACCTCCTCCTCCTGTTCCTCCTCTTCCTCCTCCATTTATTTTCTTCATGCATCCCTCATCCGTGTCGCACCCCGAGGCCAGTCGGAAGGGCGTGCCGGGCGTTTCGCCTGAAACTTCCTTACCATCTACGAGCTTGAAGCTTATCACCTGGCAGCAGCTTCACAACTGAAGGGCGACTCGCGTCCACAATGTGGCTCTCGCCTCAGCGCCGCGCGCATTCGTTGCACGAACATTGCGAGAGCTTCACGGATTGATCACAGGTGGTTTTCAACATGTGGCTCTCGCCTTAGCAGAGCGCGCATTCGTTTTAAACAATAAATTAGTGCCACGGATTGAGGGCGGATCGTTTTGAAAAATGCAGTAGCACCGGATTGAGGGCGGCTCGATTTTCAACATGTAGATCTCGTCGCAGCACCGCCCACATAATCATTCGTTTCAAACATGTTGCAAAATCTTCACGCATTGAGGGCGGTTCCCTGTCGAACCCCAGGGCAGGTCGAAAGAGCGGACGGGGCGTTTCGCCTGAGGGCTCCTCCCCTTTCATGAGCCTGAAGTGAAGCTTAGAAGCTGGCAATCGTTTCACTGATGGAGAGCGGGCCGCATCCAAAATGTGGCTATCGCCTGAGCGCAGCGCACATTCTCTGTACAAATTTGCAAGAGCACGGGCTGAATACGGGTGGTTGTCACAATGTTGCTCTCGCCTCAAAGCCGCAAACATTCGTTGTCAAATCGTGCAAAAGCTACACTGATTATGGGCAGGTGGTTTTCAAGATGTGGCTGTCGCGTTAGCGCCGCGCACATCCGTCTCAGAATAATACAAGAGTATCGTTGATTCTCCAGGTAAGCATTTCAGAAGCGGTGTTCTGAAGCACTCAAGATTGTGTGACGCAACGGTCACGTTGATTCGATGTTGAAGTCCCAAGAACGGCGTTCTGGTACAATTGAGGATCACCAAGACGCAAAAATAAGGTTGACTCGAGGCGTTGAAATCCTGAGAACCGTGTTTTGACACGCGACAAGATTTTCACACAGTTGCCCCCAATGGTGCATTTCCCCCAATGGAAATGAATCCTTGCAGGGGCTTCTAAAGAGAGAGCTTGGAGAGAGGGTGTATTCCAGCATCGCTGATGAGTCTTGGGTTAGCACTGGTCCTCCTCCTCCTCCTCCTCGAATATTCCTCGTCAGCATGTCCTCCTCCGCCTCAACAACTTCTCCTCCACCTCTTCCTCCTACTTCTCATGATCCTCCTCCACCACCTGCTCGTCCTCCACCCTGCTCCCCCCCCGCTTGAATCAACACCTCGGGATGAGCCTCGAAGGTGTTGATCCAGCTCGGGGATTCCGGGCCGGACGTTTCGGCATGCTTCTGAAGGTGCCTGCGAATTTGTTTTGGGGGGGGGAGGGGGGCCTCCATCGCCCCCCGGAGACCCGTGGGGTGTTTGGGAAGCAGGGGTCGTCGGCAGCCGACTCGACCTGTCACCGCAGCGAGCGTGCCACCACCGGGAGCGCTGAGCGAGGAGCGAAGGCGCTTCTCCGGTCACGCCATGCCCGTGGCCTCGAGCGGGCTCCTCGACACGCATCGGAGGAAGGGCCCGAGAATCGGAGCCCCTCCTGAAATCCAAAGCTTTGGGTGCAGGAGGTAGGGGGCCACATGCGAAGCCTACGTACCCCTACCGCCCACGACTTCTGAGAGGGAGGGCGGGGTAGGGTTCGCATGTGGTCCCCTAGGAGGGGCTCCTGAACCCAAAGCTTCCTTGGAGGCCTGGAAATGGGCACCAACACCAACACAGGGGGTTGTCACCACAGGGGGGAGATGATCCTAGATTTCGATGTTGGTGGTAATATTTCGGCCACCTTGGAAGCCAGAATATTACCACCATCACCGAGATCGGGATCTTTCTTCCCTCGGTGGAGGCACGTCGCCGACATTGGTGTTGAAGTCGACCTCTAGGCCTGCGACGTTGGGTTCACAAAGTGGTGCTCACTTCAAGGAGGCGGAGGAGGAGGAGGAGGAGGAGGAGGAGGAGGAGGAGAGGAGACTGAGGGGGGGAAGGAGAGGAGGAGGAGGATGAGAAGAGGGAGGAGGAGAGGAGGAGGAGGAGGAGGTGGAGAGGAGGAGAGGAGGAGGATGACGGGGAGGAGGAGGAGGAGGATGAGGAGGAGAGGGGGGAGGGGGAGGAGGGGGGGGAAAGGAGGAGGAAGAGGGAGGAGAGGAAGGAGGGAGGAGGAGAAGAGGAGGAGAGGAGGGAGGCGGAGGGGGGAGGAGGAGGAGGAGGGAGAAGGAGGAGGAGAGGAGGAGGAGGAGGAGGATGAGGATGATGGAGGAAGGAGGAGGAGGAGGGGAGGAGGAGGAGGGGAGGAGGAGGCGGAGAGGAGGAGGAGTAAGTGGTGGGAAGGGGGGAGGAGGGAGGAAGGGGGGGGGGAGGAGGATGGGAGGAGGAGGCGGCGGTCGAGGCTGCGGAGTCTTGCCTTACGGAGGAGGCTGCTTCGGAGGCTGAGTCGAGGAGGGCTGAGGAGGGCGGAGGGGGGAGGCGGAGGCTGCTTTACGAGGATGCTGAGGAGAGTAGGAGGAGGAGGAGAGGGGGGGAGGACTGCTCCTCTCCTCCTCCCCTCACCTCCTCCTCCTCCTCACCTTCCCCTCCTTCCCTCCCCCCCTGCGCCTCCTCCTCCGCCTCCTACTCCCCCTCCTCCTCCTCCTCCTCCTCCGGTGCCTCACCTCCTCCTCCTCCTCCTGACCTCCCTCGGTTAGATCTTCGGCATAATGGCAACAAGTACCCGTTAACAAGCTTAACGCCGTGTCTTGGGTAACCACTTGGTCCAGATCTCCCGCGTTGAGGAGACGTGGGAGGGACCATTTGGGGTGAAGTGTTTTTGAATTGTGGTTGCGTTCCCGTGTCCTCGGCACTTTGCATCCTGATGTGTTTGCCCTGCAGGGTCGTTGACTTGAAGGCCGCTTGCGCCAGAAATACGTTCGCAGCGCACCGGCCAGTCGGGAGGGAAACGCAGCCACGATTGTAGATTCTCCCTCGTAGGATATCTTCATACGTGCCTGGATGATTTAGAGTGGCAATCGTTCTGGCCGTCTGTCCCAGTTGAAACAAATGTATTGAAGAGGCCCAGAGACACACGAATGCATACACACAAAAACAGCAGGATTCCCCCTAGTATTGTTACACATGTTCTGGATGCCCGTCTTCCCCCCGCTTCCAATATTTTCCCCTGGTTTCCTGAGAATCGACGACTATGTGTACCTGTCTGTGCTTCCCCTACTGATTTATGCTGGACATACAGTCGGGGCGTTAACCTAAGGAACTCCAAATAAGGAACGAGGCCCCTTCTCCGATGTCCCATGAAGAACCTCAGGAACATCCGAGGCAAACTGTCAAACAGTCAAAGAACACCGAGCCACTCTCCAACGAAAAGGGTTCCTTCTTCAGCGCCCCGACTGTATGCAGGCTGACAGGGCAGAGAAGCACGCTCGACGCCCCCTCTGCGTGACAGCTATAAAGGGGAAGGGGCAAAGAGCAAAGACCCCTTTGAAAGACACAGCGGTTAGGACAAACGGACATGATAATCTTCTACACCCTTGCCCTAAGCGACAGCCTCGAAGGTCCTCCTCACTCTCCTCCTCCTCCTCCTCCTCCTCCTCCTCCTCCTCCTCCTTCTCCGCCCCCCTCCCTTCTCCTCCTCCTCCGCCCCCCCCCCTCCTCCTCCGAGGATCGCGGTTCCAGGATCGAGGTTTCTGGAGGCTTTCCAGACCGTTGGTCTACTTTGGGCTTCTAGGGACCTCCAGAGACATCCACAGACCTCCTCATTTCCATCCTTCTCCTCACCCCTGCCCTTTCCGCCGCCCGAGCCGACACTGCCTCCTCGCCCTCTCCTTCCTCTTCTTCCGCCTCCTAGTCAGCCCTCGCCGCTTTCTCCCGCCGCTGCAACTGTCCCGCTGATCCACCGATAGAAAATTCCAGCTGGGATGGCCAATCCGCTGGCCCGCCAACTCAGACTGCGGTCATCAGTCCGAAGCGGCCTGGAGAGGCGGAGCTGGCCGCGAGAGGCACAAGAGGTGGAGGAGGCGAAACAGAGCATTCGAACTCGCGCCTAGCTCGCGGCCTCCCGCACAGGAGGCATCAAAGGCAGGACACGTGTTAGCGTCCACATCGAGCAGGAGGTAAGAAAAAGCGTCCTCCACACGTCGCGCCTTCGCCGCAAGCACGGCCACAGAGCACCGACGCTTCGGCCGCCGCTAGGCCCGCACCGAGCACTCGGGGGAAACACCAAGCTTCCGCCGCAAATTCTCCTGGCATGCCAAGGACTTCATGTTGAAAGTCCGGTAGACCAAGAGCTCCTGCAGCGCCGGAAGTCCCTTCCCTCGGAGCCCCTTCTCGATCCCCTCCAGGCCGTCTGGGGTCGTGAGGAACCTGTTTCTGCTCAAGCTCAGCGTGGTCAGGGTTCTGCAGTGGCGTGCGAACAGCGTCCCGAGGCTCTCAGCCGCGGAAGGCTGGATGTTGAGCACCCCCACGTCCCAGGTCGACCCCGCTGGACAGACAGGCATGCTGTGTCTGGTGTTCGAATATAGGTCTCGTTTACAATCGAAAGGTGGCAACGAAACGTGGTCAGCGCCCCTCAAACGGGGACTCCACTAACGGGTACTTTGGCCAGTGACCCAGCGAACCCAACCCTTCCCAATGTGGGCAAAGCTGCAATGCAAGAGAAAGGCCCCAAAGTGGCAACTTTCGGCAAACATTCAAAGTACCCGTTAGTAAGTACCCGTTACGGTGCCGTTGACGTGGGTCAAGAACGCAGGCTCCGTCGAGAAAGGCCCAGGGCCCCATGGAGACACCCCCAGCGACAAGCTCTCCAGAGCGGAGAGCCCGACCACGCAGAACGCCAGGGTACCCCTGGATGGCTAGCGCTGTTTTTTTAACCTCTCGTGGCAGCTGTATTGGGGGTTGCCTCCTGGCGCTCAGGAGGAAGACGGTGGAGGAAAGGAGAAAAAAGGGGGGGCGAAGCTCGGGGAGAAAGGGAGGGGAAGAAAGGGAGCGAGGAGGGGGACACATATATATATATATGTATATATATATATATATATCGGAGGTGAGGGGGTGAGATCGAAATGGAACGGAGAGCCCCCCTACCGGAAAATCGGTTTCGGTTCCGTGTTCGTGCGTGCCGTGCGTGCGGGCGAGGCGAAGCTGCGTGGGCGAAAACTGTCACGCCTCTGGCTGAGGCGCGGCCGGACCAAAGTCTCCGTTCCGGCAACCGGTGCCCCGCGGTGTCCCGCCGGTGTCCCGCCAGTGTCCCGTCGGTGTCCCGACGATGATGATGATGATGATGATGATGATGATGATGATGATGATGATGATGATGATGATGATGATGATGATGATGGCCATGGTGGTGATGATGATGGTGTCCCGATGATGATGATGATGATGCTGCTGTTGCTGATGATGATGGTGTCCCGACGATGATGACGAAGAGGTTGATGATCCTGATAATGTCGATGATGATGAGATGATGAGATGATGATGATGATGATGATGTCCCAATGATGGTGATGAGGTTGATGATCATGCTGATGATGATGATGGTGGTGATAATGATGATGATGGTGTCCCGATGATGATGCTGATGTTGATGATGATGATGATGACGATGATGGTGTCCCGATGATGATGATGTTGATGATGATGAGGACGATGATGTGATGATGCTGATGTTGATGGTGGTGGTCCGATGACGATGATGATGCTGATAATGATGATAATGATGGTGTCCCGATGATGATGATGATGATGATGATGATGATGATGATGATGATGATGATGCTGATGGTGACGATGATAATGATGTCCCGTTGATGATGTTGATGATGATGGTGATGTTGCTGATGATGATGGTGTCCCGATGATGATGGTGTCCCGATGATGATGTTCATGATGAGGATGAGCTGATAATGGTAGTGTTGTTCCGCTGATGATGATGGTGTCCCAATGATGATGATGTTGATGATCATGATAATGATGGTGACGATGATGGTGTCCCGATGATGGTGATGATAGTGATGATGATGATGGCCATGGTGGTGATGATGATGGTGTCCCGATGATGATGATGATGATGATGATGATGATGATGATGATGATGATGATGATGTTGATGATGCTGATGGTGATGATGATGATGGTGTCCCGATGATGATGTTGCTGATGATGATGTTGATGATCCTGATGGTGATGATGAGTTCATGAGATGATGAAGAAGATGATGATGATGATGGTCCAGATGGTGATGATGATGATGAGGTTGATGATGATGCTGTTGACGATGATGATGATTGTCCCGATGATGATGTTAATGATGATAACGATGATGGTGCTCGATGAAGATGATGATGGTGATGATGATGTTGATGATGAGGATGATGATGTGGTCATGATTTTGATGATGGTGGCCCGATGATGGTGATGATGCTGATGTTGACGGTGATGGTGTCCTGCTGATGATGATGGTGATGATGATGGTAACGATCATGATGGTGCCCCGATGGTGATGATGTTGATGATGATGCTGATGTTGCTGATGATGATGATGATGGTGCCCCGATGATGATGATGATGATGATGATGATAATGTTGACGATGTTGTTCATGATGGTGATATGATGATGATGGTGTTCCAGTGATGATGATGATGATGATGGTGTCCAGATGGTGATGATGTTGATGATGATGGTTACGATGATGGTGTCCCGATGATGATGATGGTGATGATGATGTTGATGATGATGGTGATGAGGTGATGATGATGATGATGCTGATGATAATGATGATGATGATGGTGTCCCGATGATGATGATGATGATGATGCTGATGATGATGTTGATGACGTTGATGACGATGATGTCGATGATGATGATGATGCTGATGATGATGATGATGATGATGATGATGATGATGATGATAACGTTGATGATGATAACGTTGATTGCGAGATCGATTGTGATATCGATAGTAACATCGACAGGGAGACCGAATGTGAGATAGATTGTGAGATCGATAGTGAGATCGATAGTGAGATCGATTGTGAAATCGATTGTCATATCGATTGTGAGATCCATCGAATGAAATAGGTCGAGTGATTTCGATTGTGAGATCGATCGAGTGAGATCGATCGAGCGAGACCGATAGTGAGATCGATAGTAAGATCGATAATGAGACCGATCGAGTGAGACGTTGGTTCCTCCCCCCCCCGAACCTCCTTATCACCCGAAGTGTGGTTGTATAGGTATTCATATCTATGTATATAAACAAATATAAACGTACTATGTGCGACGGAGAGCGCTACCGGTCGAAGAAATACCCCAGCCAACCCTCCCGCCAACCCGGGCCAACCCTGAGGCCAGCCCTGGTTACTCCAGATTTCGTAATAAAAGGGAGGGGGTCTGGACCCCCCAAGACAAGCCATTTCAGACACCCCCCCGTGGGAGAACCCTCCAAAACATCGTCCCCAGACCCCCCCAGGCCCTCCAAGATAGCCTGGAACAGACCCCCCCCCGAAATGAGACCCCCCTCCCTTTATTACGAAATCTGGAGTACTTCTCCTGGCCAACCCCTCTGGCCAGCCCTGATTGCGGCAATTCATTCCTGAAGAGGGTTGAGCGGGGGCGCCAAGGGTGGCCCAATGGTCCATGCACCCCAAGAAAGTCGCAACACTGCGCCCATTCCCCCTCGGGCGCCGTCGACTTTGCATGGAAAGGTGTCGTGAGGCGAAAGGCGGAGGAACAGGAGGACAATGAGAGGGATGATGAGGATGGGGAGGAGGAGGTCGAGGCTCGAGGAGGACGAGGGAGTCCGATGGCAGGGCAAAGCTGAAGGCGAATGCAAGAGAGGAGGCGGAGGAGGAAGGAGGGGGGAAAGGGAGAAGGGGAGGGAGAAGTGGAGAGAGGAGGGATGGGGAACCGCCACGGGGGCAGGGGGGCGCAGGCGGCAGGCGGAGGACGTCGAGGACGCAGACGAGTGAGGAGGGACGCGGGTTCCGCCATGCGAGGTCGGGGATCTTCCGACCCGGGTCAATCCAGACCCGGGTCAGCAGGAGATCAAAAACTGCAATGCAGGAACAACAAAACTGCAACGCGGGTCTTCGCCAACCCGGGTCAGCCAATATGCGCGGCCGCCTCGCGGCCACGAGCGGCTCGCTGACCCGGCTCAGCCAGAGGGGGTCTTCGCAGGATCCTGCAGGATCCGGTGCCCTGGCTGACCCCCCCGCTTGCGTTGACCCCCGTCTCAAGGCTCCCATGCGAGGCGGAGGAATTCACTTTCCGGGGGCGCACCGACACGGGTCGGCGCAGGCCCTGGTCGGCCAGGCCCCGCGGGACCCTGCCGGAGATCCCGCGCGCCTGCCCGGGGCCAGAGCGGCCCCGGCCCTGCAGCATCCTGCAGGATCCCGGCGCCCTGGCTGGCCCCCCGCCTGCGGTGGCCCCCGTCCCTGAAGGGGCCCCAGGACAAACAAATAAATACACACACAAATAAAAACAGATTCCCAATATTTTCCCATACGCTCTGGGTTTTGTCTTCCCCCCCACTTCCCATACTTTCCCCTATTTTCTGGGGAATCGACGATGAATTGTCTGTGTGTGTGTGTTTGTTCCCTTCCTGAGTCCCCTCGAGCCCCGAGCTCTCCTCTGCTACCAGCCGGCGGCGGCCCCGGGGAGGAGCGCGGCGCCAACGTCAAGAGTCTGCCCGGGGGGGGGGGGGCCGCGCCTCCGAGCTCCGCACAGATAGGTCGCCTCCTCCTCCTCCTCCTCCTCCTCCTCCTCCTCCTCCTCTCCTCAACTCCAACGCCTCCTCCTCCTCCTCCTCCTCCTCCTCCTCCTCCTCCTCCTCCTCCAACTCCAACTCGCTCCTCCTCCTCCTCCTCCTCCTCCTCCTCCTCCTCCTTCTGCTCTCTCGCTCCTTTGCTCCTTGCTCCTCCTCCTCCTCCTGCTCTCTCGCTCCTTCCTTGCTTCATTGTCGTCCTCCCTTCTCCTTCTCTACCTCAAACATCCTCCTCATCCTCCTCATCAACTTCTCGGTCCTCCTAAAATGCCTCCTCCTCCTCCTTCGCCTTCTCTCCTTCGCTTCCTCACGCATCCGCTCCTTTTTCCCGTCGGCATGATGCAAGCGACGGACATCAAGCAAACACGGTGTTGCTACAACCGCAGATGTCCTAATCGCAGGTCGCGAGGTTGGGTGTGTCAGCCTGGATTGACGCGCGAGCCGCTGTTCTTGAGCGGCTCATTCATGTGTCCAACGCGTAGGCCTCTTGCGGCCATTTTCAAGACAGCAGCTTCTGCAGACCCTCCCTCCCCCTCAGAGCTCAGGAGCTGCGGACATTCTGTCCCCGTCGCAGGTGCTGCCCGCGCGCCCCCCTCGGGGGGCGCCAGCTGAGCAGCTCGCCAGTCCTGGCCCGGCCGATGCCTGGCCCAGCATGGGCCCAGTCGTGATCGGGGAGGCGGTCGGTTGACGTTCCCCGAAGAGCGGACCACTCGGGCCGCAGAGAACCCCCCCCCTCCGGACGTCCAGGAATCGCCCCGCCGCGTCCCCCCTCGGCAGCAGGGCGCCCAGAACTCCGAACTCGCCCCCCTCCTCCTCCTCCTCCTCCTCCTCCTCCTCCTTCTCCTCCCTTCCACCCACCCTCCCTCCCTCCCTCCCTCCCTCCTCCCTCCTCCCTCCTCCTCCTCCTCGCCCTCGCCCTAGCCCTGGCTCTAGCCCTCCTGGTCGTCCTCTCCTCCTCAGCGCGAGTGTCGTGCGGTAGGCGGGGGAGAGGCGTGCGCGTGAACGTGGGCCGTTTGGGCCGTGAAGGGGGGGGGGTCCCTGGAGGAAGAGCGACGGGGCAGCGACGCGAGGAGGAGCAGCAGGAGGAAAAGAGAGAAAGGGAATGAGGAGGAGAAGGAGGAGGAGGAGGAGGAGGAGGGGGAGGAGGAGAGAGAGAAGAGTGGGAAAGCGAAGGAGGAGTAGGGGGAGGAGTGAAAGCAGCAAGCGAGACGGGGGAGGAACAGAGGGAGGGAGGCTCCCCGAACCCCATCAGGCCCTTATAGCGCCCCCCCGAAAGGTTCGCCTCCAGATCCTCCCTCGTACTCCTCCTCCTCCTCCTCCTCCTCCTCCTCCGCCTCCTCCTCATCCTCCTCCTCCTCTTCCTCCTCCTCCTCCTCCTCCTCCTCCTCCGACTCCCCTCCTCCTCCTCCTCCTCCTCCTCCTCCTCCTCCTCCTCCTCCTCCCTCCTCCCTCGTCTCTCTCTCCTCCTCCTCCTCCTCCTCCTCCTCCTCCTCCTCCTCCTCCAGAGCATGGACAATCTGGGCGCAGCCCTTCTGACGCGGACGGAGCCGACCAGGGCTTGTGGCTGCCCGGGCTGTCGCAGTCGCCCAGGTGGAGGACCGACAGCGACGGCATGCCGCGGCACCCGAGCCCGTCGAGGAGCCCCCGGAGGCCCTTCCGGGAGGGCAATGGGGATCGGCGGCGACGGCGGCGGCGGCGACCCCAGAGGGCGCCCGGGACGAGGACGAGCAGCTGGCCTGCTCGTCCTCGGCCCGGGGTGCCTCCCCGGCTCGTGCTCGCCCTCGCGGCAGGACGAGGAGGCCTGCTCCTCGTCGACGATCGGCGGCGAGCGAGGGGGGGAAGTGAGACGGAGAAGGCCCTCGCAGAAGGCGGCGGGGCCTCTGAGAAGCCCTCGCGCCTTCTGAGAGGCTCTCTGCATCTTCGGGAAGGCTCAGAAGACTTCTCAGGAGGCCGGGGGGGTTCCCGAGCCTTCAGAGAAGGCCCGTCCCTTCTCACAGCCCCGCCGGGCTCGCCGCCGAATGGAGGGAAGGGAGGCGCAGCCGGGAGGGACCGAGGAGGGCAGGATCGAGGAGGGAAGGAATGGAGGGAGGGGAATGAGGGTAGGATGGAGGGAGGAGGAAAGGCAAGAGGGTAGGAGGGAGGAGAGGAGGAGGGTAGGAGGGAAGGAGGAAGGGATTGAGGAGGGTAGAATAAGAATCGAGGGAGGGCTGGGAGGGAATGGAGGGAATGTAGCGATCGAGGAGGGTAGGAATATGGAATATGGGGGGGAGTGGGGGAACGCAATCCGAAGCCTCCGATGCAAGATCCACCGGCGAAAATACCGCGGGCCGAAAGAATGACATCAACAGGATGGTCAAACTCTGGAAGGTGCCGATGCTACGCTCAAAGCTAACAACTCCTGCCCCAATGGCAGCCATGGGAACCAAGCGTCCGTGAGGAGCGCAACGCGGATCGAAAAAAATGCGGGAGGTTCGCAAGTGGGCGGAGAAAGAGGAGTCCGGCCCGCTTTCCCTTCCAGCGAAAGGCAAACACTGGAATAAGCACCACTATAAACAAACATTCATTCGGGCTACGGCAGGTCCGTGTCGTGCTGACATCGGCGTTGGTCTCTGGCACCGCGGGGATCGTTCAACCGAAACGTTTCCACTGCTGGGACTCCACGGCGATTGGGGCCGCTGGGGCCTTGGGCGATTGGGGTAGGAGGAGGAGGAGGAGGAGGAGCAGAAGGAAGAGGAGGAGGAGGAGCAGGAGGAGGAGGAGGAAGAGGAGGAGGAGGAGCAGGAGGAGGAGGACGAGGAGGACGAGGAGGACGAGGAGGAGGGAACGATCGGCCGATTCCGAAACGTCGGATTGTTCCACAGCGACCGGTTCTGGGCCGCCGCCCGCTTGGAGCGCTGAACGCCGCCTGGCGGGGTCGCCGCGCCAGTCGGCACGACGCGAGCCCACCGTGCGCTGGGACGGCCTCTGCACAGACACGGTCGCAGGCCCCAAAAGCACTGCACCCCTGCCACGCGGACTCCCCCTGAAACATTTTTTGTTGGTCGGCGGGGCGAGAGCGAACCTCTTCCGCTAAAAGCTAGGCGGGCTACGCACAGCTCTAATTAGGGAGACAGGGCACAGGCGGGCGGGGCCTCAGGCGGCCGGAGTGGGCGGGGCCCGGGGTGCACCATCTGAGAAACATACGCGGAAATCCTTGGGAGCGCGGTCAAACTGTCACTGGCGCCCGCGGAGTCGTCGGGGCAGAATATGTCACCAGCATCTGTAACATCAGCTCACCACCTGTCCCACGTACCAAAATCGAACGTGATAACACTACTGGCGTTTGTGATGCCAACATCGATGTTCGATACATGCGTGGCGTAACCATACCGTGGGATACTCACGTTTGGGAGCATATCGCCCATGTTTGCCTCAAAACTCGACCTGCGCGCGCATGGGCCGCAAGCGCCGCCTCGGCACGACTTCCCAATCCATGTTGCTCCCTCAGAGGTGCACTTGTTTACACCGGCGTCCAGGATGAATCACACGCCACCAGGAAAAGGACTGCCTCGGCGAAGGTATGGCAACTCATCCAGTACGAGACCCCTGTCATGTGCCATGGCGCGATCTGCCCAAGGCACGCACCAAGATGCCCAGCGGCCCCTCGTCATGAGCCCCTGCTCCTCCTCCGAGTGTTCTTCCTCCGGTCACTTGCCGGCTGCGCAGCCCCCTCGCAGAGGGGGCCCGCCAGCTCGCTGGCGCGCCGGCGCAGGCAGGGCGCTCGCACGGCGAGTTGAGCCCTGTGCGCTGGGAGAGCGAGGCGGGGCCCAGTGAGCCCCACGAGCTGCGCGAGCCCCGTCCGCGCCCGCACGCCGGGGGGCGCGCCGGCTCTGGGGGCGGCGAAGCGCCGAGCTCGCAGCGGCGACAGATCGCCGGCAGAGCGGCGACAGGCCCCAGGCAGCGCGCCCGCAGGCTCCTGGGGCGGGGTGGGCCACGGTGGGCCCCAGGCAGCGAGCCCGCACGCTCTTGGGCGGGGTGGGCTACAGTCGGGGCCTTGACCTAAGGAACCCAAAATAAGGAACGAGGCCCCTTTTTCCATAAGTTACCCTTCGATTTCCTGTCGGAAACATAAGGAAAGCCTGAGGCAAGCTGTGAAACACTTAAGGAACGCGGAGTCCCTCCCCAACGAAAAGGGTTCCTTCTTCAGGGCCCCGACTGTATGGGCCTCTATCGATCATGGCTGGGCGATCGGGGATCGATGCGCTTCCCCCTCTGAGCTTATGATCCCCCCCCCCCGGCCGTTGCCGCTGGCCCCCTCCCGTACGAAAGATGAGGCCGGGCGTGGACCAGGCCGGCTCAGCGCAAGCCTGGCTCGGCCGCTTCAGAGGAAGCGGCGCTGCAGCGCCGGGCGGGCGGGGGGCGGAGATGCCCTGGCCCAGTGGGCAGGGGGACAGGGCATCGTTGGCCCCAGAATTAGGAAGAGCGGGCCCCACGCGTCCTCTCTTTTGGGGGGGAGTAGAGCAGCGCGCCCCGCGGCGAAACGATGATGGCCCTTTATAATATATATATATATATATATATTATATATCGCTCGTGCTTCATTTACATATATATACATATATATATATATATATAGATCGCTCGTGCTTCATATATATATATATATATATATTATCCCGCGGCTGCGGCGGCTGCGGAACTGCGGCCCCTTTCAGCTCTGCCTGCCGCCTGCTCTGACTCGCGTGGGGCCGGGAGAGACGCGGCTCCGGCAGCCCTGGGCCGCTCAGGCATCTGCCACTCCCGGTCTTTCGTCGGGCCTGTCCCCCTACAGGGGGACTTTCGACGAAGAATAGGAAATACCCCAAAAATGGTCAAAAAAATAATCTAAAAATAGTCTGGGGACTATTCTTTGAATATATGTTGTTACCTTTGTGGGGCATTTCCTGAGGTATTTTTTATTTTTCGTCGATACTCCCCCTGTAGGGGGACACGCCCGACATAATCCTGGCCTCCCAGCGCTTCTCGAAGAAAGCGCCAGCTCTTGGGCCCGCACCAGACGATGACAGGGGAGACCAAAAGGTACCGATACCGCTAGTCCCCGGACCTCTCCCGGGGTGTGCTCTGACCAGGACTTCGAGGCGGATCCAGCGGTGGCGGCGAGGGCCTCCCAGGGGGCCCAAAGAGGGGAAAGCGGGCGAGGGGGTAGCGGTTATGGGTACCCTTTTCCCTCCGCTGGAGGCCAGCAGCCTCCTGCGGTGCCAAACCTGGGCAGGCAGGCAGACGTGCACACAGCGCCCGCCCCCGCGCGGGGCGCGGAGCGCACGGCACCGCAGCGCCTCCCACGAGCCCGCTCCCCGAGCTCTGCCCGCATGGGGCCCGCCTCTCCCCACGGGTGCGGCCCCTGCGGGCGTGGGCAGCCCGATCCCCGTCGCGGACCTCCCGACCAGCCACGCGCAAGGGACTCGTCACTTCACCACCCCCCCCCCCTCAGCGCGGCCGCGGGGTCTCTTCACCGCGGTCTCCCCGTGGCGCGGGGGTGGCGTCGAGGATGCCACGCGCTGGCCTTCGCGGCCCGTACATGTTCTGGGGCTCCGGGCCCACAGCACACGGCATCCCCCGCCGGATGTGATGGGTCCCAGGGCCCCACGCCCCTCCCCACAGATAGAATGGGGGGGAGGAGACGACGACGACGACGACGACGACGAACATGACGACGACGACCCCCTATCCTCTTCTTGCTTGGAGAGGGGGAGGCAGGGGAGGCGACGACGACGCCGACGACGCCGATGCCGACCCCGCCACCGCAGGGGGGGGGCCTTTGGACCACCCCACACGCCCGCAAGCGGGGGGGGGGGCACCCGCGGCACCGCCTCGCACCCACTGTGGGGGCGGGAGCGGGGGTGGCGTGTCCTACTCGGTGGCTCGAGTCCTGCCTCGGGACAGCTCTGGGGTCCTCGGTTGCTGGCACCTCGTGTCGGCGGTGGTGAGGCGTGAATAAGTGAAGCAAGAACAGGAGTAGGAGGGATGAGGACAGGTACTCGAGCGAGTACTCGATTCAGGCATTGCGGCGCGCGTTCGTTTTTCACCACGAAAGACTTGCCCTTACAAAACAATCAAACATCCGTGCGCGTAAAGACAAGTATAGGCCCTTACAATCAAAACTAAAAAGAAAACATCGTGTGTCAACGTCCCTGTGAAGGTGCAACGAAAGTGCGTGTACCCAAACGCATCGCATCAATGGATTTCGAGCCTTCGGGCTGCTTGGGCGGATCTGGGACGAAGGGCCTGAAAGAAGCCCAAAGATCTCGAAACCAATTGGTTCCTGGCGTTGTTCTACCTATACGACCGCCCTGCGGGCGATAAGAAGGTTGGGGGAGGATCGAGATCAAATGCCCACCCTCACTGACCTCCAGCCTGTCACCTTGATCTCATCTCTATCTTTCTCTCTGTCTCTCTCTCTCTCTATCACCCTCTGTGTCTCGCTCTCTTTCTCGCCCTCTCTCTCTCTCTCCCTCTCTATCAGAATCTCCCTCCACGGACGCCCGGGACACCCGGGACACCCGGGACACCGCCCGGCCAAACTGGGACACCTCCTGGCCACCGGCGGGCGGGAAACGGACTTTCGCTCCTACGAACACCCGGGACATCCGGGACACCGCCCGGCCCAACTGGGACACCTCCCGGCCACCGGCGGACGGGCAACGTACTTTCGCTCCTACTTCGGCCTAGCTATAGGAGCATCACGCGCAGCTTCGCCTCGCCCGCACGAACGACACGAACACAAAACCGAAACCGATTTCCCGGTGGGGGGTCTCCGTTTCACTGCGATCTCAACCCCCCAACCTCCGATACTCACGATGTGTTCGGTTTGTTGTGTGTGGTTTACATATCTTGTATACCCTCACAAAGATCGTAGTCCCACTTCGGGCTCTTACTCTTTGTAAATGTAGGGAGGTCGTACCGTGTGTAATTGCAATACTTTCGTGGTGCTCCTAAATGTATGGGGTTCTCATTGGTGTCAACTGCATGGGATATCATGCTGATCTCACTTGTAATGATCGGAGGTTGGGGCGTGAGATCGCAATGGGACGGAGACGCCCAACCGGGAAATCGTTTCGTTTCGTTCGTGTCGTGCGTGCGGGCGAGGCAAAGCTGCGCGGACGCGCGAGAGGAATGAACCAGTCGTTGCTAGGGCGAAGTCAAGACAAATGATTCTCCCCCTCAATCCCGTCCGGCGGTAGCCACCGGTGTCCCGCGGTGTCCCGTGGTGTCCCGTGGTGTCCCGTGGTGTCCGCCGTGGCTGTGGCGAAATCACGACACATGATTCTCCCCGTCCCGCCCGTGCGGCGGTGGCCACCGGTGTCCCGCCGTGTCCCGTGGTGTCCGCCGTGGCTAGGGCGAAGTCGAGACAAATGATTCTCCCCGCCCCGCCCGTCCGTCCGTCCGTCCGACGGTGGCTCGCGGTGTCCCGCGGTGTCCTGTGGTGTCCCGTGGTGTCCCGTGGTGTCCCGTCGAGTGATATCGATAGTGAGATCGATAGTGAGATCGATAGTGAAAGTGATAGTGAGATCGATAGTGAGATCGATACTGAGATCGATGTGGTGCCCCGAGGTGTCCCGTGGTGTCCCAAAGAGTGAGATCGATAGTGAGATCGATAGTGAATTTGATAGTGAGATCGACAGGTGTCTCGTGGTGACCCGTGGTGTGCCGTTGAGTGAGATCGATGGTGAGATCGATTATGAGATCGATGTGGTGCCCCGAGGTGTCCCGTGGTGTCCCAAAGAGTGAGATCGATAATGAGATCGATAGTGACATCAACAGGTGTCCCGTGGTGTCCCGTTGAGTGAGATCGATAGTGAGATCGATAGTGAGATCGATGGGGTGTCACGAGGCGTCCCGCGGTGTCCCGTGGTGTCCTATGGTGTCCCGTTGAGTGAGATCGATAGTGAGATCGATAATAAGAACGATAGTGAGATCGACAAGTGTCCCGTGATATCCCGTGGTGTCCCGTTGAGTGAGATCGATAGTGAGATCGACTGAGTCAGATGTTGGTTCCCCCCTCTCCCCCCCACAACCTCCTGATCACCCGAAGGGTGGTCGTATAGGTATTGTTATGACATTAGGCGTGCGGCTTCCTGACTGGTTTGAATTACATGTTGGTCTGACTATTTCGTTGCAGCGAATTCTGATTGTCTGGCGAGGGCGCACGAAAGAAACAAGGACGAGGAAGAACGGTGGCGCCCGAAGGCTCGACCGAGATCCTTTGAACTTTGGTGCGCTCAAAATGTGTTCTAGACTTGCTGGTGCCCTCGCCTGTTTGTACTGTTGTCGTACTGCTTTCGTAATGTTTTCGTACTGTTTTCGTTTGCTGAACCCCTCGACTTGTGGGTCGTTCGTACTGTTTGCGAGTTTGATGATGCCGTCTTGTTGCGTTGTGGATGTCGATTGTTCCGCCTCATTCGCTGGGGCTTCGTGAGGGATGTCTGGCTGGTGTCTTGTCTATGGATGTCTGACTGGTTTTAAGTATACCTGGGCATGGGCGAAGCCCGAAGGCCCAACCACTGCTTGTGGACGCGCTCACAACTTGTAGTGTTGCTGGCTCTCTCTACTTGTTGTACACTCTCAGTGATCGTGGACCAAAGACGTATTCTAATTGTTCAGCGTGAAAATTTCCAAATGTTTTCGACCGTTACCGTTACCAGGGGGGAGGGTTTGGCCAGAGCAGCCGGAGAGAGGCGAGAGGACTGTGGGGTGGCGAGGAGGCGGGAGGGCGGCGACGAGGGGGGAAGCGAGGCGGAGAGAGGAGGGAGCGAGGGAGGGAGCAGGGAGGGAGGCGGGGGCAAAGGACGACGACGGAGGGGAGCGGCAGGACGGGCCTGCGGGGTGAGCAGCGCGGGGTTGCTGCCGAGGCGGAGCTCCTGGAGGAGCGGGCACCTCGGGAGGCGATTTGGGGGGGGGGGGGGGGGTGCGGAGCGCTGCCCCCGGCAGAGCGCCCCGAGGGCGGCAAGAGGGAAGAGGCGGGTCGCTTGCCATCGCTCGGACGGTCCATTCCCTGTGCTTTGTTCGGTTTCGTGCGCGTTTTTTTCGCCAGATGATCGAGGATGCTCCTCGGTGGTCCTCGCCGACGGAAACAGGCCCACGTCCGAGCGATGCCAATAGGTCGAGGAGCGGGAGGTCGGCGGCGGGCGGCGGGGCTCGAGCACGGCCGGGCGCTTGTCTGGGGGGGGTCGAAGGGCGCGGCGCAGGCGCGGCGGTGCTCCGCCGTCGGGGCCGCCGGCCCCCCGGGCGGCTGCCGCGGGGGCACGAGCTCTCCAGCCGCCCGGGAGGGGGGGGGGGGGGCAGGCGACCCCGACGGCGGGAAGGCGTATCCTATGCCAGCCTTCGCCCGCCACACGTGCACCGCCACGTCCTCTCAGCGCGCAGAAGGCATCTGCACCACACCACCCTTCCTGGCCAGGGCCATCCTGGGCCCTGGCATAGTGTAGTATAAGCCTCGTGACTGAGGTCAGCAGGGTCTGTACACCCCTGGCCGGGCACAGAGGTGGTGTATAGAAAGCATCTGCGGATTAAACAGAAAGATTGTGGCCGCCCGGGCCTGCACGGTTTCCCCCGGGGCCGTAGGCGTTCCTAGGACCTAGGAGAAGGACCAGGAGGAGGAGGAGGAGGAGGAGGAGGAGGAGAACGAGGAGGAGGAGGAGGACGAGGAGGAGGAGGAGGAGGAGGAGGGGGAGAGGAGGAGAGAGGAGGAGGAGGAGGGGGGGGGAAGGGGGAGTTGGAGGGGGGGAGAGGGGAGGAGGGGAGGAGGAGGAGGAGGAGGAGGAGGACGAGGAGGAGGAGGAGGAGGAGGAGGAGGAGGAGGAGGAGTGGAAGAGGACGGGTGGCCTAAGCCCTTCGGAGAAACCCTCCAACCGGGCCACAGAACATGGTTGGCACTGGGGCGAAACGGCTGCCGGGCAGGCGGCCTCGGGCCGCCCATCCCTGCTGCGGGACTCTTCGGTGGTCCTTTTTCCGTGTCAGGTCGGGCATGTCCTCCTGCAGGCGGATTCTGAAAGAAATGTTTTAAAACATCAAACACAACTAGAATATGCGAAAGAGCACGGGAAGTCGTCGCCAAGCTATCTTTTTGCTACTTTTGAATGCTCCTCCTGCAGAGGGACATGCCCGCATGCCCGCTTTAATTCATCTCGTGACGTGTGAGATCGCCCGTGACTTCTGCGTGAGCGCGCGGACGGAGGCCGACCCCCGTTCCAACCGCGGCGGGCTGCCCTCCCCCCCCGAGAGGCCCACCCGGCCGTGGGTGTGGCTCCCTTCTCCGCTGCGCCAGGCGTGCAGGCGGGGCTGAGCCCGAACTGTGGACGCTTCCGCGGTCTCCGAGCCTCTCGGGGATCTCCTGACCCGGGTCAATCCAGACCCAGGTCAAGCCAGACCCGGGTCAGCCAGGCCGCGCAAGCTCCTACAGGATCCTGCTGGGCCCTGCAAGATCCTGCAGCCCAAGCCCGGGTCCGCGTACCCGTGGCCCGTGGCCTTGCAGGGTCCTGCAGCATCCGGCCCCAGACCAGGTGGTGAGGTGTCTGGTGGTGACCTGGAATCCCAAAAAAGTTACCGCTGGGGTTCTGGGGACACGCGGTCACCGCCGGGGTTTGTGACTCCTGTACCCACCAGCGTTCGGGACATCCTCGAAAAAGCACGCGAGTCCCCCAACTGGGTGGTGACACAACATCGCCCGAGACTGGCAGCCGGGTGTTGTCACCACCACGTTGGGGGGCCACCAAGTCTCTGGAGCCCCGAGCCTTGCCAGCAGCGCCCCGAGCGCCGGCCCCGCGTCGGGCTGCACGGTCGATAGCACAAGAAGCAAGAACAAGCAGAACAAAAAAAGAGGCAAACAAGCAAAAAAAAAAAAAACAAACAAAATAAAATAAAAAAAAAAAAAAAGAAAAAAAAAAAACAAAAACAACCTCGCGTCCAGTCCAGCCACCGCAGCAGCTGCAGCCGGGCGTCGCCCAGGCCTCAAGATGCTGCTGAGGCCGAAACTTGCGTCAGGAGGTCTGGGCAGCTCCTCTCCACGTCAGGAGGCTCCTCGCCTGGGCCGCGAGCCGAGGAGCCGGCTCCAGCCATGCCTTTCCTCTCCTCCTCCTCCTCCGTCCCCCTCTCTCCTCCTCCTCCTCCTCCTCCTGCTCCTTCCTCCTCCTCCTCCTCCTCCTCCTCCTCCCCTGCTTCTCCTCCTCCTCCTCCTCCTCCTCCTCCTCCTCCCTCCTCCCTCCTGCTTCTCCTCCTCCTGCTGCTTCTCCTCCTCCTCCTGCTTCTCTCCTCCTGCTTCCTCCTCCTCAAATGCTTCTCCTCCCTCCTGCTTCTCCTGCCATCCATCCACCTCCTCCTCCTCTGCTGCTTCCTCCTGCTGGCTTCTCACCTCCTGCTTCTCCCCTACCTGCGTTCTTCCCCTCGCTGCTTTCTCCTCCTCTCCTCCTCCTCCACCTCGTCTTCCTCCTCCTCCTCCTCCTCCTCCTCCTCCAACTCCTCAGCCTCCTCCTCCTCCCCCTCCTCCTCCTCCTCCTCCTCCTCCTCCTCCTCTCCTCCTGCTTCTTCCTCCTGCTAATTAATCCTCCTCCGCCTCCTGCTTATCCTCCTCCTTCTTCTCCTCATCCTGCTCCTCCTCCTCCTCCTCCTCCTCCACCTCCATCTCCTCCTCCTCTACTGCTCCTCCTCCTCCTCCTCCTCTCCTCCTCCTCTGCTCCTCGCCTGCTCCTCCTCCTGCTCCTCCTCCTCCCCCTCCTCCTCCTCCTCCTCCTCCTCCTTCTCCTCCTCTTGTTTCTCTTCTTCTTAGTATTGTTATTATCAGTATTAGTCTCATCCGTATCAGTATTCGTCGTATTATTATTAGTCGTAGTAGCATTAGTATTATCAGACGTATTCTTGTTGTTGTTATTAATAGTATGAGTGTCATTAATGTTCTTAATGTTTTTCGTATGAGTAGCATTATTAGTATGTGTATTGTTGTTCCTTTTCTGCGTAGAATCAGTATTCGTATTATTCTTCGTACTTTCATAATAATATTAACAGTACTACTATTAATATTGCGACTATTAGTATGATGAGTATTAGTCGTCTTCTTCGTCTTCCCCCTCCTCCTCCTCCTCCTCCTCCTCCTCCCTCCTCCTCCTCCTCCTCCTCCTCCACTCCTCCCACTCCTTCCTCCCTCCTCCTCCTTCTTCTCCTCCCTCCTGCTTCTCCTCCTCCGGCTTCCCTCCTCCTGCTTCCTCCTCCTCCTTCCTCCTCCACCTCCACCTCCATCTCCTCCTTCTCCTGATCCCCTCCTCCTCCTCCTCCTCCATCCTCCTCCTGCTCCTCCTGCTCCTCCTGCTCCTCCCTCTTCTCCTCTGTCTCCTCCTCCTCCTCCTGCTCCTCCTGCTCCGCCTGCTCCTCCTGCTCCTCCTGCTCCTCCTGCTCCTCCTGATGCTCCTGCTCCTCCTGATGCTCCTGCTCCTCCTGCTCCTCCTCCTCCTCCTCCTCCTCCTGCTCCTCCTCCTCCTCCTCCTCATCCTCCGGCTTCTCCTTCTCTTCCTACACCTCCTGCTGCTGCTCCTGCTTGTAGAGGCCAGCCTCCATCTGCCCGCGACATCGGCCGCCTCGGGTTCTCCGAGACTTCGGCCTCCCCCTTCGCCGCCTCCTCCCGAGGCGAAGCCAGGGCGAGGAGAAGTTCAGGTGAGGATCTGAAGTCGGCGGCATCTGAGATCCGACGGCTCTGGAGGATGTCTCGGGCGCCGCGGTCTTCCCAGAGCGTTCTGGAACGCCCTGAGAGCGCTCCAGGACGATCCGGGGCGGACTTCTCCCCGTCCTAGCCCCGTCCGACTCACTCTCCCTCCTCCGCCTCCTCCTTCTTCTGCCCCTGCTCCCCTCCCTTGTACAAGTATACTCAACATGAGTACTATTCTCCAATTGCTCAAAATGAGTACTATGCTCTTTCTTCTCCCCTGACTCCGTCCAGAAGATGCTCGGCCCTCTCCGCGTACTCTTGCAACTGTTCAAGCATGGCTATGTTATATGGTATGTTTCACCAACTGTGCTCCCGCTGCATCGTGGGCCTCATTTTAGGATCGGCGCCTCGCTCCCGTCGTTCA